AGGTGGGGAGGAGGGGGAGAGGAATCTAGTTGTCTGAAGTTCTACTGCAAGCAACTTCCCAGGCCTTGAACTAAGTCTCTTAATTCCTAGGCCTGTGGGCTTCTTCTTTGTATATTTATAGGAAGTATATTTGCCACCTAACATTAAATAACAATAATTATTATTATACTTATTTATGTAGCATCTGCTATATGCCAGCGATAAGCACTTTATAGATATTATCTCATTTGTTTCCTACAATAACCCTGGGAGGTAGGTGCTAATGGGGATAATCATTCTAATTTTACAGATGAAGAAACTAAGGCAGACAGAGGTTAAGTGACTTGATCAGGGTCATACAGCTAGTAAGTCTCTAAGGCCATATTTGAACTCAGATCTTCCTGACTCTAGGCCTAATACTCTCTCCACTGGGCCACCTAACTGCCTCTAGGCACATCAAGATAGTTATTCCCCAGGGAAGGTGATACTTTGGCCCATGCATAGAAACTCTGGTCTTCAACATCTTGAGCAGGGCAGTTGCTTTCTACACATTACCTCATCTGAGCCTTACAACAACCCTGGGAGGTGGGCACTATGCCATGGCTGTTATTATCTTATGGGTGAATGACAGATTCTCAGAGGGGAAGTGATTGCCAATAGTCACACCACTGTTAGGATCAGAGAGGAGATTGGAACCTAAGTCACAAAATCATAGATTGCAACCAAGATTGCAAGAAGGGACCCTTCTGAAGCCAGCTAGGCCAACCCCCTTGTTTTCTGGGAGAGGTAAGGTTATTTGTCCAGGGTCACCTGGGTAGCCAGAGTCAAAGCTGAGATTTGAACCTGGCTCCCAATTGGTCTCCAAATTCACTACGCTTTGCACTGTACCATGCTGGAGGTATATCACTCATGGCCCTATAGTCCACTGCTCCAGAACCCTCAAAAAAAATGACCATTTTGTCTAAAAAGATTCCAGAGCACCAAGAGAAGCCCAAATCTAGTCAGTTCTATGTACCATTCAGGGAGTCCTTGGGAATAGCCATGTTTCTAGCCCAGTGTTCACAGCCATCCTCCTGGGAAGCAACCCCTGTGGAGTTGCAGCCTGGCCACTACTCCTGTGGGTACTACAGCCACAGCTACTGAAGACCCAAAAAGGAAAATTCTTACCACCAAAATCCTTGGCCCTATCAAATGGTTCAGCATCAGAAACTGATGTCATTTTATCAGTGGAAATAAGATGAAAGAAAAGGCTTGACCATCTGCCCATCTGCTTGGCCATTGCATCCTAAGGCTTTTCCAGCTGACTTGTAACTGAAATCTTCCCTATGTGTTGTCTCCTCCATTAGATTGTGAGCTCCTAGAGAACAGGGATTGCCTAACTTCTATTTGTATCTCCAGCATAGGCACTTAATAAATGCTTTTTTTTCCCTTTCAGTCATTCATTTAGTCAGGCCTTCCCAGCAGTGAGCTACCACAAAATACAAGAATCTGAGCTAGAAAGGCTGTCCAAAGCCATCTGGACCAATTGACCTGGACAGGAATCCCTTGGCCACTATTGCTGGCAAGTGAACATCTTCCTTCTGCTTGAAGGCCCCAGGTCTACACAGGCCAAAATGGGGTTTAAGGGCTCAGATTCTTATAATCTAGCCAAGGGCTTAGATTTTTAAGATCTGGCCTGTTCACATTAGCCATACAAATGCTTAGATTCCTTGAGAGACTGCCCAATATGACTGATGTTCTGATAAACTTTATCTTTGGCAGAAAAAAAAAATGGGGTTCAAGGACTGCCTATAGGCCATGAAAAGGGTCTCTTACAATGTTGAAAGCTTTTTTAAAAAAAAAAACCTTAGAAATATTAAAATTAAATAGCAGAAATGTCAGTGAATGTTGCTTCCTGAGGAGAAGCAGGTGCATTTAGAGGAGAATGAGGAGACAAATGGAGCCTTCAGGGGAACTTCTGAAGGGGCCTTCTGGGGTGCTCTGAGGTTCACAGCTTTATTTCTTTATTGGACAGAGACAAGTGGTATTCCTTTTCCTGATACACACACACATGCATTACTGGTGAGGTGGAAAGCATGCTGGAGATCAAACCAAGAAGACCTGAGTTTGAATGCTGCCTCTCCTATTTACTAGCTTTGTGATTCTATATAAGTCACTTTGCCTCCCCAAGCCTCAGTTTCTTCATCTGTATAATGGAGCTAGTAATAGCGCCTACCTTACAGAGTTTTGAGAGTCACATGAGGTCATGTCTATGAGGCACTCTATAGCAGCTCTCATTCAGCTCATCTGGGCATTTCTCTCCCTTCCCTCTCAAGTTCAAGGAATTATTTCATGTCTCAGATCCATTCCATCTGACTTTAACAAAGCCATGACCCTGTACTCCCAGGTACCTGCCTAGGAAAGCCTACAAAATGTTATCATACTTTCAGGTGCCTCAACTGGGATCAGGTGAATGCTTCACTGACAAGGGTTTCATTCAGTTTCAGAAGCCGAGACCTTTGTCCCTTTTCCCTTTGCCCCTTTTTGCCAAAAGGAATTTGGCTCCCATTTGTTGAAAACCCTTAAATTTTTAGATTCCCCTTACCTCCCTTCCAAAGCCTTGGCCTCGCCTTTTGATATGCATCTTTCCTCCCTGGCCCTAAAAAGAACCTGGCTTCAGTTTGTCTACCTGTCCCAGGAAAACCTTAAAGTTTTAGAAACTGCCTTTATTTCCCTTTGAAAGCTCTCTTTATCTCTCTTTGAAAGCCTTAGCCTTACCTTTTAATCTTATTCAAATGCACCTCTGCCCCTAGCCCTGAAAAGACGTTTGTCTGCCCCGTCCCAGCTCCCTTTGAAAGCAAACTTCTACCTTCCAGGTCCCTTCATTATCTATTCTCATTGTTTATTCAAATCTCTCAGACCTTCCAAGCAGAATTCTCACCTGGGCCCTTTTTCTCAACCACCTCCCCCCTTCAACTGGCCTTCCATTGTGGCTACACCCAATCTCCCCTCCATTGTTTTACCTTCCTGTGGCCCCTGGCCATTTCCCATCCTCAATCCTAGCTAGACACCATGAGGTCCAGGTCCCAGGAGTTCTATTCACCCCAGCTTACTAGCCACTCCCATCCATATCTCCTTAGGCCCTTCCTCCCATCACCCCAAACTACTTGGCCACTCCTAGATCCCTCCCACAGTTTTTTACTGTATTTAATATCCACCTTTGCCCCCATTTAGATGCTGAGTTTTTCTCATGCCCAAAAGGCTGAGACTGTCTCATGCCCGCTCCTCCTTACAAGTGTCACCTGGCTTAATATCCACCTTAGCCCCCATTCAGATGCTGAGCTGTTCTCACACCTAGAGGCTGAGACTCTCATGCCCACCGTCCTTTCAGGGTCACCTGACCTCCCCCATTCAGAGGCTAAGCTTTTCTCATGCCCAAAAGGCTGAGAATTTCTCATGCCCGCTTGTCTTTAGGGGAGTCACCTGACCACCTTAGTCCCCATTCAGATACTGAGAACATCTCATGCCCAGAGGCTGAGACTCTCATGCCCGCTGGTCCTCACGGGCGTCACCTGGCCTATATGTGATTTATCTTTAATAAACTTTTTCTCTGGCTGGAAGAAGATTTGGGTTGAATTCATTCAGGCAGATCTGGTGCTGCGATCTTGAGGGGGTCCGTTTGAGCACCCCAAAACCTCTACACCTCTTCATCACCACAACAAAAAGAGATGGGCATTTCATTTTTCCATGCCTAGAGTTTTAGCTCATAGGATCCTACATCTAGAATTGGGAGGAACCTTAAAAACCATCCAAGTCAGCCCCTTCATTGGACAGAGTAGGAAACTGAGGCCCATGAAGGTTAATGATTTTGCCCATGGTCACATAGCTAGAAAGTGGCAGAGTCAGGATTCGAACCCAGGTCATCTATACATTCTTATTTGCCTGCAAGGTGAGCAGTTTGATAAGTCTCACTCTACACTCCCCCCCATTAACATAACAAGATGATCAGATAGATGTCTTTATCAGAAGGGGCACCTTCCATGGAAGTATATTTGGGCCCTAGCCCCCTGCTGAGAGCATTTAGGGATATCTCCTGGTTGGTCTCCAGGGCTTGGGGTCACCAGACAACTGACAGTCGGGGACTCTGGTCGGAAGAGCCCCCCTTCCCCTTGGTTTATGAGAGAAAGCTTTGAAGTGTTTTTCACCTTTTCCCCTGAGTTTTTTTTCTCTCTGACCACTGTCCTGCATGGGGTGGAAGGAGGTTTCTCCCTTCTCCTTCCTCCCCCAGGAGCAGAGAATGGCATATTGTCAGAGAAACAATGATCAAGTCAATCTGTGCTTGCCTAGACAAGCCTGAGAAGGTAATTGCGGTACTCCCTCCCTCTCCCCCTCACCTCCTGACTTCCTTCAGATTCCTTTTTTTTTGGGCCCAGGCCAGAGACTGGCATTCCTCAGAATGGATTTTCCATGGAAGTTCAAGAGTTCCCATGTGATCAAGAGTTCGCTGGGCTTCCCAGAGGAAGAAGGCTTTCTGGAGAAGAAGAGCCTTTTCCCAGAGGGTCCCTGCAAGCTGGAGTACTAAAGCCAGGGAATGAGGGGACAAGAAATCTGGAGCTTGCCAACCCTCTTTGTTATTGTCATGAGATGCTCAGATAGCACAGGTCTGAGAAAAATGAGGAGTGTTTAGTCAATGGCCCCCAAAGTGGCTTTACCTTCCAGTGGGAGCCTAATGGTCAGTGCTCCCATACGTCCATGGGCTCCTCTGAGTGCTTTGAGTTTTACTGTGGTTGAGAAAATCCAGGCTGTCTCACATCTAGTACCTAGGTTGTCCATACAGGTGTTGAGGAAACCCAGACCGCCAGCCATACCCACACTTCATTTTAGAGATTTTCCTAGAAAACACTAAGTGGGGGGGTGAAGAGCCTAAGAGAGAAACTGACTCTTTGGAATCAGTCCCCTAGGATCACACCTGATCTGTACGAAACTCTAGCCATGGTTTACACACTCAAAACTCTACTCAGGAGAAACGGAAGCCCAACAAATTTATTTTCAAATATTGAATTTAATGCAGAGAATTGAAAGACATTATAGCCTTACAACTGTTTTCTTTGTTTGAGGACCCAGGAAGACAAATTTGGACTCTGCAGTGAACTTTGAGAAATTTTCTGGGATATTCTCAGGAGCTTCTATCTTCCACAAGAATCCTGGGGAATGAGATATGAGACATGGTGAGATATGAGAGGTTGTTCAAAGAGAGACAAAAGGAAGCTGAGCAAAAGAAAAAGACTGCGGGCTAGAAACAGGTGAGGAATAGGACTATTCTCCTCCCCCCCCCCCCCAATCTAGCATCCCTTTTCCTACAGGTGCATGCTCGAATTGAAACACAAAGGAGATCAGCAGGAAGAAATTCAACACAAGGAGAGCTATACTCAAAGATTAGAAAGACTGTCATGTGGAAGAAGGCTTAGCCTTGTCCTGCTTGGCTCCAGAAGGCAAAATCAGGAATAATAATAAACTTTCCTCCCAACTGGCCATCTCATACTAGAAGGGCCTGAAGTAAACCGATAACTTTTCCTAACAATTTCTTCAGTGGATGGTTAGTTCTAAGTGGATTCTGGCCTCCAAAAGTAAATGGTAGCCCCCAAGGCAGGAAGGTAAAATGACCAGCCCTTTGGGCTCCAGCTCTTTCATTCACTACCTGTATAAGCAAATGACTCTGCCTTTCTGCCTCATCTGCAAGCCACTTCCCCCACCACAAGCTCTCACTCTGCTCCCAGCCAGCTGCATGGAAAAAATGGCCTGACAATCACAGATTTGAAGATTCTTTAAGAGCAGAGGACACTTTCTTTTTTTTTTTTTATTGCCTTCAATTCATTTTTTTTCTAAATAGTATTTTATTTTTTTTCCAATTACATGTAAAGATAGTTTTCAACATTCATTTCTGTAAAATTTTGAGTTCCAAATTTTTCTCCCTCCCTCCCTCCCCTCCCCCCCTCCCCTCCCCAAGACAGCAAGTAATCTGATATAGGATATACATGTACAATCATGTTAAACATATTTCTACATTAATCATGTTGTGAAAGAAGAATCAGGGGGCAGCTAGGTGGCGCAGTGGATAGAGCACCAGCCCTTAAGTCAGGAGGACCTGAGTTCAAATTCGACCTCATACCAAACACTTGACACACTAGCTATGTGACCCTGGGCAGGTCACTCAACCCCAATTGCCTAAAAATAATAAAATAAAAAGAAAGAAGAATCAGAACAAAAGGGAAAAGCCATGAGAAAGAAAAAAACAAAAAACCAAAAAAAAGTAGAAATAGTATGCTTCAATCTGCATTCAGACTCTATAGTTCTTTCTCTAGATGTGGTTAGCATTTTCCGTCACATCTTTTGGAATTGTCTTGGATCGCTGTATCAGAGGACACTTTCTGCATCACATGACCAACAAGATGGAGAACTAGGCATTTCTCTGATCCTTAAGACCTCTCAAACTTCTTCAAAATAAAAATTGTGCCTTGAAGATTCAAACTCCAAATGGTAGAAATTTGTTCAATAACCAAGGGACAATGTTCTGTGTTGCTGCACCAGAGAACTGAAGAATGAACCAACAGCATATGGGGTTGAGGGTGGAATGTGTGAGGAATGTGCAGAACTCTACTAAGCTTGAGGGAAAGAGCCCAGCATCCAGCTGGGGCCAGCTCTGTCCTAGAAATCACTTGGGGCAGAAACCAAGGCTGGTGAACCATGAAGGGTTCACCAGCATGGAAGTGCTGAATGAGCAGCATGGGAAAAGGCGGAGATATTTTGACATCCGGCCTCCAGAGAAACCTGTGTTGAGGCTTAGAGTTGGGAGAGCTGGTTCAGGTGTGAAAGAATTCACTTAGACCTTCTCTGTAACCATTGGGAGCTTTATTGGTGCAAAAGCAGAGGGCTAGCTCTGGAAAGAGGACTAGCAACTTACAGAGGGACAGGGACAGTTTTATAAGGACAGGATGAAGAAGATGGTTGCTTACAAGATAGTTTTAGAAGTTTTATGGGGGTTAAAGATTAGAGACAGGTCAAGAAAGGATTTTATGGCATAGAATGAGGGAGACGAAGGGAATTCTCTATGGTTTATAGGGCATGAGGGCACAGGTTAAAAATTAAAGGACAGGGGGAACATAGGCTAAGGGATACAAAAGCAATTCTTTTGGTACCAGTTCAAGACAAGGGGGAAAGGAATTTAGGGCGCCTTTCAAGTTACAGAATAAACTGGGGTTTCACAAAGTCCTGGAAAAGCAACATTAATATTCTCTTAACCTTTAGGGCACTGTATGTCTTTTGCTTCACCTCCATCAAAGCAGAGGGAGTCAGAAAGTTAGTGTAGGAAGAAAGACATGTGTACAGAGACCCACCTGTGGTGAGGGCTGTTATGTGTGGCTCATAGGGAGGCAAAATAGACATCTCCTACCTCTTCTTCCTCCACCCTTCTCCAAGAGAGACTTTCATTCCTGCCAGGAGGGGAAGCAGAAGGTTGGAACTGGAGGCCACCACTCTTCTCTCCTCAGAGAGAGGGGGTACCAGACTAGAAGCATATCTATCTGCTCCCTTTATATATTGTTCTACTAGGGGATATGATTGAGTTCCATCTAACTTATGATCCCTTTGACATTTCTGGGGAAGAAGGGGACCCCAAGTTCTATATCCAAAGCTTGATTCCTTTCCCACTGAATACCAGTTCCACAATGAGCACACATAGTGAATAACAAGGAAACCCCTTTATCCAAATCATAAAAAAAAACAGAAATCAGAAAAGGTATACGTAGGAGGACATATAATGGACAATACAAAGTGAATGAACTCTCCTATTGGGAGAGTAACTCAGCCCAGTTGAGACAGAGAGGGTCCTGGGTCTCAGCCAAGGGGAAACTCCCTGCAGTCTCTAGGGACATGATGGAGGCTGCTGGCTCCTGTCAAGTCTTCCCAGAGTCTTATTCTCCCTTTAGCAACCTGAAGGGAAGTTGGCCTCATCCATCTTTTCTCTCCAAGCTTGAAGCCAGAAACGCTTGAAATGACTTGAAGCTTGAAGAGTCCTGAAGAAAGCTGGTGCTCCAAAAGTCCCAAAAGGGACTGGCTTTGAAGAGTCATTCTGAGGGGACTGTTCCTTGGAGAATCCTGAAAGGAAATGGTGAAGGCTGGAACTCCCTGGCCTCTCACCAACTCTGCCATCCTGCCCCTCACACAGGGCAGGGCATTCATCTACATCAATAAAGAAAGAGTCCCATACCAATGGACTTTGGGACAGGAGTTACATGGGCAATAGGGGAAAAAAGGGGGAAAAGACTGAAATTACCAAACATCTCAGGAGAAATAAAACTCAAAGACCCTGAGCATAAGCAGATAAATCAAAAGGGAAAACATTAACAGCAGAAGGCAATCTGGTCTAGTAGAGTTCTGGCATCTCTGAAGATAAAGGAAAAGAAATCAACATTGGCTAAACAGAGCAGAGGACCTGGAGGATTCTGAAGTGCACATGAGACCACAGCCAGATGTTCCTGAATGGTTTTAAAAAAGAAATAAGAATTGTGAGAGCAGAATTGATGGCCTGCACAGCAGACATAATTGGCAGAATAGAAAAACTGGAATCCACAGTGCCAAGCCAGATCAAAGAAACAAGAGAGAGGATAAGTAATTAGAATGCAAATACATGAAAGCGAAAGATCATTTGGAAGAAGAAAATGTAAAAAGCAATAATGTTCAAAGAAAGCATGATCTTCATACAAACAAAAATACTGATCTCAAAAAATTCTAGGTCTTCTAAGAAGAACATAAATCAAAAAAACCCTGAATATCATAATGCAAGAAATAATACAAGAATACTGCCCAGAACTCCAGAACACAGAAAAGAGTAGCTGGCAAAAGAATACATAAATAGCCTCTAGGAAAAAAACAAAAAAACTCTAACTTGCAAACTCCAAGACACTGGGTGGTTAAATTTAGCAGTTCCATTGAGAAACAACAAATACTTTGAGCAACTAGGAAAAAGACCATCAGATATAAAGGAAAGGAAATTCTAATAACAAAAGACTAATCTCCACCCACCAGAAAACGTTGGAGGGAATGGAATGCTTTCTGAAGAGCAGGGGCATTCAGGATACAGCCTGGGGTGACCTACTCTGTAATTATCAAAAGAGGGGAAAGATGGATATTCAATAATGTATTTAAAACATTTCTAGGAAGACCTGAAGAGGTTATTTGTTTCTCAAACATCCTGGACAACAGAAATACAAGAAAGGTAAAAAATACAGCAGCCAAGGACAACAACAGCACCACCAACACAATTATAGAAACTATTAAGAGATTTCTGTCTAAATGTACATGAGAAAACAGGGGTGAAAGCTGAAAAAAGAGGAACGTGATTCATATGTACAAAAATATTTATAACAACTCTTTTCGGGAAACTGTGTCATTCCCAGGTAGGGTGGCCCTGGGCAGTATACTGAGAAAGAAGGAAGTTCAGAAGCCAGCAGCAGGTGTGTGGCTCAGACCTCAGCAACAGAGCCTGATATCAGTTTCAGCATCTAGCCGGGCCAGCAGAGGAATAACCAGGACAGGAACCCCAGCCCAAAAGGAAACCTACAATCTTGCCCCTTTGAACCAGTAAGCTGGCTGCTAGGGGCTGAGGCCAGCAGCAGTAGTCACTCAGACCAGGTCAGAAACTTGCAGAAGTTAGACCAGCGGGGCAGTTGCCCCTGGTAGTCCTTCATCAGACCACTACGGAAGCACTGAAAGCTTGGAGCTCCCCCGTCTGAGCTGGTCCTAAGATTCTGGAATACCACAACACTCAGTACACCAAGAAAGTGGCAACAGGGCCAGCCCAGATCTTCCCTTCAGAAGTGCACAGAACTTAGCCCTAATGAAGAGGTGTAGAGGTTTTGGGGTGCTCGGACCCCAAGATTGCGAAGCTGGGCCCTGCCAGAATGAATTCAACTCAAATCTTCTTCCAGCCAGATAAAAAGTTTATTAGAGATAAAACATATAGGCCAGACTCTTAAGGAACCTGAAGATTAGTAATGCCAGTAGAGAAGGCATGAGACAGTCTCAGCCTTTTGGGCATGAGAAAATCTCAGCATTTGAATGGGGTCCAGGGTGGATCTTATATACACTAAAGTAACTTTGAGTGGCCAGAGGAGGGGGCTGGGAAAAGGGTCCAGATGAGAATTCCCATTGGAAGGTCTGAGAGATTGAATAGACAATGGGAATAGATAATGAGAGGGACTGGAAGGAAAAAGTTTGAAAGGCATCTGCATAAGATCAAAAGGTGGGGCTAGGGCTTTCAAAGGGAGATAAGGGGAGTCGCTAAGGAATCTAAAAGTTTAAGGGTTTTCTGGGGTCTGTAAACAAATGGGAGCCAAATTCCTTTGGTGAAAAGGTGCAAAGGTCTTGGGTTCTGAAACTGAACGATATCCCATCACTAACATCAAGTCCAAAGTCACGAAATAAGTTGGAAGAATGGGCAAATGAACAAACAACAACAACAAAAAAGAATCCCACTATAAAAAGCTAGTAAGTTGACAGGGACACTCAAGATACAAACCCAGAAAAAGAGAATGACTCCAAAACATCTACAAACAAAGCCCGAGGGGGGAAAAACCCCCACAGCTTGGGCACAAATTCAACTAGAATTCCTAGAAGAGATGAAGCAAGAATTAAAAAGAGGTATATGTATCTATATTTGTATCTACATCTATATCTATATCTACACACACACACACACACACACACTGACAGCTATGGGAGAAAGAATTGGAAAACAAATTAACAGCTTGGCACAAGAGGTATAAAATCTTGATGAAACAATAAATTTCTTCAAAATTTGAATGGATGACACAGAAGTTCATAAAAACAAATTCAAAAGACTGAAAAAATAGACGAAAATGTAGATATCTCATAAGGAAACATACCTGCTCCTTCACATCAGAGAGGTAGGAAATTACTAGGACTGAATTATTGTCTACATAACCAGACAAAAATATCTGTAATGGATATTTTTGCTTAGTTGGTTTTCTTTGTCACAAGAGAAGGTTCAGTTAGAGAGTGGGGATGGGAAATAATTGTGTTATAAAGTCATTAATACTATATTTTTTATTTTTTAATCAGCAAAAACCCTCCTTCTCACTCTCCCATTCCAACCCTCTCCCCGTTAAAAACAACAACAACAACAAACCAATTACAAACATGTATAGTCAAGCAAAACAAATCTTCACATTGCGTGTGTCCAAAAAAAATTTGTTTCATTCGGTATTCTAAGTCCCTCACTTCTCTAATAGGAGGTGGGTAATACGTTTCATCATTAATCCTATTGAATCATGGTGGGTCATTATAATGATCAGAGTTTCTAACTCTTTCAAAGTTGTTTGTCTTGTTCTCCTGGTTCTGGTTCGCTCATGTAATTCTTCCTAGTTTTTTCTGAAACCATCCCCTTCATCATTTCTTCACAACACAATAGTATTCTATTACATTCATACACCATAACATGTTCAGTCATTCCCCATTGATGAGCATTGCCCCAATTTTCCAATTCTTCACAACCTCAAAAAAGAGCTGCTATATTATTTTTGGAACATCCTTAGTTAAATTTTTTTTTTTTTTTTGCTCAGGACTAATTCCTCCCCTTTCTCTCCTATTTCTCTGTTGAATGAAATGTACTTCTGTACTCAACTCATGTATGTGTGTGCATGTATGTGTATTCTTTCTTCCTTTGACCAGTCCAGATGACGAGGTTGAAGTGTCAACTACTGCCCCCTCCCCTTCCTCCTTGCTTGTGTAGATGTCTCCTTGTGCACTTTCATTATGTAAGATAATTTCTTCTAACTTTCCTTTCTCTTTCCCCCACCCTGTAATTTCCAGGGTATTGCCCTTCCTCTTAAGATCATCAAGACATAACAGAACCTCCCAGGTCTTGTCTAATTATACTTCCTCTATGGTCCCTGACGGTAACAGGTTCAGAGGGACATGTGGATCATCTCCCCATATTTAAATATAAGCAGTTTATCATTGTTTAGTCCCTTATTATTGTTCATTTATGTTTACCTTTTTATGTTTCTCTTAATTCCTGTGTTTGAACTTCAAATTTTCTCTACTGTTCTGGTCTTTTCATCAGGGATGCTTGGAAGTCCTCTATATCATTAAAGATCCATTACCCTCTGCATCCCCCACCCCCCTCAGGGGAATACTCAGTTTTTATATTCAAGTTTTATTGGGTATGTTATTCTTTTTTTTTAATCCTGCATCTCTTTAAGCTTCTCTTGCACTTTACTTTTGATGGAGTTAAATGCTGTCTTCTAAGAGACTGATGAACTATCTTGTTGGTTCTTGTTTTTTGGTTAGCAGCTTCTGAATTTCCCCACCATTTAGAGTGTAGGGTGAGTTCAGCAAAGACTAGTACTTCTGGTGTGATGACTGCAGAGCCCTTTTCAGGGTTGCTTTCCACCTTTGGTGTCTACCTGTT